GCCCTCTCTGTATCGAACCGGAAGAATTTTTTGACAAAAATCTCTAAGCCAGAAAGCAGTTTCATTGTTTAATTGCTTAAAAGCTTCGATTTTTGCCTTTTTCTGTTGACAATCTCTCATCAGGTGTTTTATGTAGTTGAATACATCCTTTACAGCAATTTCCAAATCATAAACAGAATCAGCATCGTCAGAATTTTGAATTGTTAGTTCTTTGATCATCTCGATAGCTTTGCACAAATCATAGCAATCGGTACATACCACTTCTGATATCTCTGTGTTGGATTGAAGATTTTTTTCAGATGGATCTGATAAGGCATGTTTTGAGCTATGAGAAGAAATGTTTGAGTCATTGACACTCCAATTGGTTTGATAACTTGTTTTCAAATGCCTTTTTCCTTTTTCAAGGGCAGCTTCGAGAGATTTAGAACTAAATCTTTGTGCCAATCTTTGTAATGTTTGAAAACCATTCATGCCTGAAGCAGTAACATCATCTAATCCAGCTAAGCTTTTTCGACTTGAAGGTTTTATTGCATGCAATACTTTCCACAAACTTGAATCAGATAATGGTATATAATTGTTTTCACTACAACTTTTTCGATAGAACATGATAGCGTGGCTATATTTTGTCGTCAGTATTGCATGCACTATCTTTTGTTCTTCACCGCTGTCGTATTTTAATTTGGTTATTCCATAAGCATAATAAAGTCTAAGAAATGTTCACACTTTGTTTGATCAAGACTAGATCGGACGAATACTTTCTTCTCTGGAAATGCCAACCCTTTATGAGATGCATGCCATTTTCTTGCTGTTTCTATACGATGTTTGGTACACTCAAATGTGTTCATTATAAACTTTTTGGTATACTTGGTATGGTCTAATAATGAGAGGATAACTAACTTTCCCATGGAATCACTTTGCTTATATACTTTCTGAGCACGAATAATCTCAATTGGGAGAGGGCTATTTATTTCATCAACATTTTTACTGTTAAGAAAATCTATAAGTATTTCCTCTTGTCCAGGAGCAACAGCTTCCGCAAATTTTTTCTTTAATAAGTTTTCTAGGCGAACATACTTGCGTTTTAACTTATCTTTAGTAGTATCTTCCAGATATTCGAACTTCCTTTTTAATCTAACTTTTATTGGACTTGCATTAAGAACCTCAGTTACACTCTCTCGGCTTCTTAGAGATTCGTCCAAAATCTCCTGTGAAACATTAATTTCACCGGGATCAAATTCTTCATCTGGAGTAGCAGGTGTCATATCCCAGTGGGCACACGACGTTATTTCGACGTTGATTTACAGTTGATTTTTAGTCGCGACGTCGTATAACCAAAAATCAACGTTGTATCAACGTTGAAAAACTTCTTTAAAACTATCAAATAAAATTGACGTTGATTCCACGTTAATTCAACGTTTTATATTACGAGTTCGATCGTTCGTAATTGCAATATGAGAACTAAAATACGCATGCGTGACTTAAAATTTTTTTTATCAACATAACAAATAACAAGTAAAGACTTAACAAGTTACTTATTAGCCTAATAAAAACAAGTAAAGTCACACATGCTAATAAATTAGGTCATCTGTTGCCTTTTTATAAGATTTTGAATTTGACAATTTAACAATAATACATGGCTTAACTTGTGATGCAGTTAGTTAGGTAAATATTAAATGGATATTTCTTTATGACCGTATTATTTTATGAGTGTGGATTACAAGTAGAGACTACTTGATATATTATATAAATATAAAATATATATTATATATGTTTTTCTTATTTGTATAATATATATATATATATATATATATATATATATATATATATATATATATATATATATATATATATATATATATATATATATATATATATAGTATATATATATAGTATATATATATATATAGTATATATATATTTATATTATGTATGTATATATACACATACAGTGTATGTATATATACATATATAGTATATGTATATATTATATATGCATATTATATATATGTATATATATATATATATATATATATACATACATATATATTATATGCATATATAATATATACATACACTACATATGTATATATACATACATAATATAAATATATATAATGGATGATGTTTTACAAAATAATGATTTATCAAGCTTTTTTACCAATCCATGTGATTTAAAGAGTTTGAATATTTTTTTATATTAAAAAATTTTTATTAAATTTTTAAAGATTTTTCTTGTAAAGATGTATAAAAAAGAATTTGTGCATGCTCCTTTAGTCCATGATACTGGTTGGTAAAAGAATCAACATAAAAATTTAGCAAATTTTAGCAACTGTATAATGTATCATAACGTACAGTTTAAAGTTGTATTTTTCTGTTAGCTATTTTACAAGAACAAATTTTTAATATATAAGTATTTTTTCTATTATATTTTCTACTATACTTTTTCAGTTGAAAAAGTATTGTAGGGCATGCAAATTGGTCATTCGAGCTGTTTGGATAGAAAATACAGAGAAATAAAGAGAGAAAATTTGATTGATAATTTTTTGTGTTGGCCATCATTAAATGTAATAAATTGTTTCAATGAAATGCATAAACCGCATCTAACTAATACAGATTTACGCTGCTCAAAATTAAATGTCATGGAGATAATGTAATTTTTTTAAATATAAACCTTAAGTCATTACTTTTTTTCCTTGTTTTTTTTAACATGCTTTCATTCTGTATATGTTGTTTTCAGTGTTTAGATATATTCTTTTAATATATATTCTTTATTGTATAATGTATTTAAAACATTTTTAAATTGAATGAATATTCTTAGATCATGAGTTATGAAATAAATTTGAATTTGCCTCTACTAGTGATACTCAGATAGAATCAGGTTAAGAAAACGGTAACTATTTCAAAAGATACTTTATTCAAGTATTATTAGTTATATTTTGATATTAATTTTTATAGGAGCCACTACCATGCTTATGCAAAAGAAAACATAATAACCAACAGAATAGTAAGCAAATACCTACTCCTGTAACGCAAAAAAAGAAACAGAAAACAATCTTTATGCATACTCCACATACTGTAGCTCAAGGTATTAATTGTCTGTCTGCAAGTTGATTTAGGAAGAAAAGATTCTGAACATTTTTTTCTATGCTTCAGTGATTTACACATTTCTTTGGTTGCTAAATTAATACATTTTATTTAATTTATGAATAATGTTTTATTTTATAAATTTTTTGTTCTTGTGTTTCAACGCTTTTAGAAATTAATTAATGTTTGGTTCTTTTGTCTTTCTGATATATCTTTATTGTTAGAAAGAGATGTTAGTAAAAACTCTTTCCAGTAATTAAAGTAATATCATGACAAATAGTTCTGAAATTCTATGGATGAACTTGCAGCAGTAATTTAATGATTATGATAACAGTTTAAATGATTCTTGGGTGAGGTCAGAAGTGATGGATTGTTTCAAACCATGACTTTTTGCAGTTTTTTTTATTGTTTTTTGATTAAGTATTCATTAATAACTTAGCCTAAGTTAATCTACTTGTAACTTTTTATAAATGTACTTTGAAAGTAATGTGGTGTAATTATTTTCTTAAACCTTTAGGTTAACAAACTTTCTAAAATTGGAGATAAACCATTAAGACAAATACGAAATAAATGTGATGCAAAGGTTTGTTAAAAGTAGTTTTAAATAAAAATCTTTTGAATCTTTTTATTATAGTTTGTTTTAAACTTGTGTTAAAAATATGTGTAGCATATATTTTTAAAAGTTTGACGAATTCTAATCAGACATAAAATAAATCTTTTTTTTTTATGTCTGATTATAATTTTTTTTGTAACTGTTTTTACTTACTTTTGTATTTCCTTGAGCTAAAGAACAACCTTAAAATACAAAGGTTGATTTGTAACGCATACTTATCCTTTTTTTTTACTCTATATATACATACATATATATGTACATAAATAAACATACATATGTATATATACATACATATGCTTATGTGAATATATTATTTGTTTCATTGCATTGTGGCATGGTTGCAATTTTTTTTTTTTATAGTTTTTGTCAACTCTGGGTTATTATGCCAGATCTTGATAATCTCTTCCATAAGATCTTGCTTATTAGTAAGATTTTTTTTTTCCAATCTTTTGCTTTACTATTTCCCAAATGTTTTCTATGGGGTTAAGATCATGCGAATTGTCTGGCAATAGCAATACATCAACTAAGCCATAACATTTTTTATTGTGTGGCATGTTGCACCATCTTGCATAAATATAAGATTTTTGACATTATTTTTAATAATTTTGAATTTTTTTGTCACTTTTTGATTTTTTTGGCTGGACATCAATCCCTCTTCTTTTAGCCTTCTACAAATGGTCCGGTCTGACACAACAATTACAGCTTCATGGATAAGCTTAGTGGCTTTTTTTCTGTTTTCCAGGCAGATATTTCTGATTATAGTGTCCGCTCTTGGTGTTTTCTAGCGTTTAAAAGGTGGTCTGCTTGGACCAAACTCTTCCCCTGTATCAATTCTTTTTCTTACTTGCATTACGGTTTGGTAAGAAACCTTTGCGGTTTGTGCAATTTTTCATTGAGAATAATTTGTATTTTGTAAAAGACATGTTTATCAATTTTTAATGTAACTGTAATAATAATAACAATGTATAATGTAGGTTGTTGACCAATGGTTTATGATCGAAATTTAATATGGCTGGCAGTAAAGGTAAAGAGAAGTTTAGAGGAACAAACATTAGGTATTTACTCGTAAGTTAAGTGTAAAATTATATATTTTTTAAAAATCACAGTTCGTTTTTTTAATGCTATTTTATTTTTATCTTTTTGATGTATTTGATGCAAATTACTCAGGCAATACCTTTTTTATAGAGAAAGTTTTGTCAATTAAAGTGACTGTTACAGTTGCCAAAATAAGAAAAGAAATAATGACTTTATTAAAATACGCACTCGACAGATCAAATGGTGGTCGTCGGCGCGTAAAAGGCGATTAACCCGATGTATAACATTCATACGTTTTCTTAGTTGTTCTGGAACTATTGATAATAGTTGTTATTGATAAATTGACAAATATATTACTGACAAATAAAACTTTTTTTTTCAAACATTTTATTTTATTTGCATTGTATGTAAAGTCCGTTGAAGCAATTTAGTTGTATCTGATTAATTTACGTGAAATACAATATCCTCTTTGCAAATTATTGCTTTTTTATTGTGTTATTTTATTGCAATTAAAGTTGAGATAATTTTTTAGTTAATTGGATTTAACCAAAATAAAAAACAAAAATCAACGTTGAATTTAGGTTGTTTCAACGTTGTTCTAACGTCTTATCAACTACGTATCAATCGAATATATCACCTATTCAAAGTTGAAATATGGTTGATATGTAGTCGATAAGACGTTAGATCAACGTTGAAACGACGTAATCATTGACGTTGTTTCAACATCGTAGTTTTCGACGTCGGATTTTATTTCCAATTCAACCAAATTTCAACGTTGTTTCAACGTGGCATATGGTCGGTTTGCGACGTTGTTTCAACGTTATTTCAACGTCATTGTGCCTGCTGGGATATGTTTGTTCTTGTTGTGTTTGTGTTTCTGTACATAAATTGGTGTTTTCGTTGACTCTAGATAAAGCAGTTTCTTGCTTTAAATGGGTTAAACACAGCATTGCACCAACTGAAAATACTTCATTGTATCGCTTTGACATTGATATGACGACATGTATTGGTGACGCCCTTAAAGCGGGAGATTTTTTTCCTTTTATATTTAGATGGTGAGGATGAAAGCATGTTTTTGGAGGACTCCATGCAATACCAAACGTGTACCGGTGAAAAGCACATATTTGTTCATCCTTTTCAAGATTTCTTTTAAGTCTATTTGCAATAAGTCCATTTTCTTCCCAAATATTATTATCGTTTAATCGCATGACCTAAAAACAATTTTTTAAACAATTATTAAGTGTGTCATTTAAAGCATTGTTTATAATCTGACTCTTCACGAAAAATGTTTACAAGTTTGAAATACATTGTTGTTATTATTAAAATACAATATTGCAAGAGTGTGATTAATTTTGTGATTATTTATTAAAAGAGTGAGGAATTAATTAAAAGAGCTACTTTTTTTTGTTTAAAGAACTTTGTCTCAAAATCTTATTGCAGAAAAGTTATAAAGTATGTAATTATAAAAATTATATTACAGTCTGCGTAAATTTAAAATACATAATTACCTTTAAGTTGATGAGGTGTTTCTTAACATCAACATCTCCCAGCTGATGAATGTAGAACATTTTGTTTATAATTTTATGTTTTTTGAATGATCCACAATTTCCTTTTGAAAAGCAACAACATTTTTCATAAAAATATTTGTTTTGTTCCATACTCAATTTAAAACAAGTTCTATTTATGCAGTACCTATTTCTCAATAGCAATGATAAAATATCTACTCTATTTATGCAAATTTTAAAGATCGTTAAAATAAAGTTAAGACATTTTTATGGTAAAGTAAACAACCGCCCACTAACTTGTTTCTCCACAATCGTGATATCAGCGATTCTTCTTCCATTTGATCACCACAAGTTATTTGGTTATGACGTAAATTTAAATAATTCACTTCTGATCATGTATTGTTTTTTATTATTATTTATTTCAATTGTTATGATTTCTATATCATAGTCAGAAACGCTTAAATTTTTTCTTAACATTACGTGCAATGTTTTGTGTAATGCTAATTGCTAATTTTGGATAATAGAAATTTTATTGTGAGCGAAAACCTCATCTGTGTGTCCAAAAAAATATCTCTTCGTACTTAATCATTTTTAACAATTTGTACCTTTATTTTTAACTTAATATCTAAAGATCACATTAGTTTTTTTTTAAACTATGTTAGGGTCATCTTATATTGACCATTTAACATGATTATATTTTTACAAAACTTAGCGCCTCTGCCGTAATAGCTCATTTTGTAAGTATACTATAACATTTTTTTCCAATTTCAAGCCTTAATATATTAATAGGCCTTAGGTATCACATAACTTTCTTTGCATTTTTAGACTCAATACCTTTGATAATTTCAAATCCTAAAAGAAAAATTGTGTGCAACACTTCGCCGCTAGAATTAACTCCGATTAAAAATTGACAAAACTGATTGATTTTGTACTTTTGAACTATGATAATAAGCCAACCGCACAGTGTCACGCAACTTTTTTATATTTTTTGGAGAGAGCTATTGGGTTACGTCTGATATTAACTACAAAAGCTATGTGCAACTTTTTGCCTTGCCAAAAAAATGGGTTCAAAGGTGGCAAAAACTAAATTTCCAAAAATTTTTAAAAAAATCTCAAAAATTTAAGCCCAGATTCCGAGTAAACGAAACATTTTTGAAATTTTTTTTTTTCCCCAACAGGTTTTCTCTACATTCTGATCAATATATAAGAAATTCAAGCAATTTGGAGGAGGTCACTTCCATTGACTGCCTGATTCTTACAAAAAATGACTCTTAAAGTATCTCGTTCAATTTTTGGCACCGAAAAAAAAAACTTTTTTTTTTTTTCTTTTTTTTGCGTAAAAAGTTGCGTAAACTAACTTATAATAAATTATTAGAAAGTAAATTGTAAATCTAAATTATTTGAACGATTCATAAGTAGAATTTTTTTGGGGGTTAACGCAGACGTACCATGAAATAGTCAAATAACTGTATAATATGTTTAAATATGTTTTAAACTTTTTTGACACAAAATAAATTTTCAAATGTTTTAATTTATAATACGTTTAGCGAAACAAAACTTTGATGATAAATATTACCTTAAATTAATTTTATTTTTCTTTAATAAATTATCAATTGAACAACGTGGACCCAACTAAAACACGCCGAAAACGTCAAAATATGTACAAAATAAACATAAATCTAAAATTTATTTTTACACAAACAAATAAAGAAATTAGTCAAAGACTTGTTAATAATTTCAGTATTGTTATAGATTTAAAAAAAGATTTAACCACTTATAGTCTACTGATTCGACTAATTTATTGTTTTCAGCACCTATCATAATATAAAAAATGTTCTATTTTTTAATGGGGTTAAGGTTTTTAACTTTTTTTAAAATTTTGAAAACAGTGAATGAAAAACTCGTTGAATTGTTCTATTTCATTGTGTTTGGCTTTATATGATTGTGTACTCTCGAGTCCTTAATTCCAAGGGGGAAGGGGGGCGTTTTTTAATTTGGGGAAAACTTTGCCACCCACACTAAGCTTATTAAGACCCCCCTCCAGTTTATTAATTTTTACTTGTTTTAACAAAAAAATTATATCTAAAAACTAAAAAAAAAGTTAGTGAAAATCAGCTTTAAAAATCAAAAAATATATACTAGTTACTGATAAGTAATAAAACTTTCAGTGTAAATTCTGATCCTCCCCTCCCCCGGTTTATTAAATCTTGACTAAACTCCTCCATCCACTTTTATTAACCCCATCCCTCTTGTATTAAAAAATTGAAATTACATAGATTAACAGATACGGAATTAACATAGATTAACAGTCATGGAAATTAACAGTCATGGAAATTTTTATACGGATTATCTTATCTATCTATTTGTCTTAAACTTTTTAATAGATGTCTTAAATCGTTTTGTCTTTGAAATAAATTATTGCACTATTAATGTACCCAAATTTGACTATATGTTGCAAACTCAGAAATTTCACTTTTCAAAATTCATTTAAAACTTAGCATACTTTATATCGGTAAATTTACTGAAAAAATATTTTAATTATCGAATTTCAATTCAAACTTCAGAGTAAGCTGTGTGTGTATTGTTAACAAACAATTTTATACATAACTTGCCTTGGCTATTCCGTTCATAAATTAGACAAAATTGTCTAACTTACTTAACGAAGTCCACCAACGAGAAGGTAAGCCATAGGTCTTTGCACTCCATACGTGAGCTGTCATGCTGCCTAAGGTTAGCCCTCCATTTCTGGATTCTTTCCTTTACTTGATAGGCAGTTCATGTAAAAGTAATAGTAAATTAGCCTAAGGTTAGCCCTCCATTTCTGGATTTTTTCCTTTACTTGATAGGCAGTTCATGTAAAAGTAATAGTATTTTTGCATAAGCTTTTTTTTTTTTTTTTTAATAATAATAATAATGTGCAGTTAAGCTGCAAATAAACAACAACAAATAAACAAAATTGGTGCAGATAAACATATCAGATATGATTCATACTATTTACAAAGATAAAAACCACTGAACTCAAATGTAGTAAAAAAAACTGTTGGAACATAACAATAAAAGAAATAAGATTAATATATACTGTAACATAATTCTAAATTTACATTAAATAAAACTTCGCAATCCTAGCTACAAAGAATAAGATCACCTTTTTTTAAAATCTATTAATAAAGAAAATGACCATACTTCATCAGGTTCATTATCATACTTAACAAGATATATAGTTCTTCTACCGTTTAATTGATCAATTTGAACCACTTGCGCACGTTCCCAAGATACTTCATGAGCATCTTCTTCTCTAACACGATGTTGTATAGAAAAACATACAAAATCAGATGGATTGTTAATAAATTTTGATAAAGAGTGCTTTTTTTGTTGCTCTATTATTTTGTTTAGTCTTGCATCCTAAATTTTTTCCATTAATTCTTTTTTTTGTTTTCAACAGCTGCATCACGCATTGTACGAGGCTTTAAATTATTACTTATATTATTACTTAAAGATTTTTTGTTTGGTGTTAAATTTGCTTGAATAACAATAAGAAGGTTTTGATATAATTCCTCTGAAGACAAGTTTATTCTTTTGCTTCCTTGTACCTTTGTTTTACAAATAAGTTTTTTGTCACATTCGACACCTAAGATTATGCGATAAAAATTAAGTTGAGCTAGGAGTACTTTTGATTTCAATGGCTCTTCTATATTAAAAACTGTTTTCTCTGCTTCCTCTAATGATATCCAAACCCTTACATTTAAATTTATCAAATCATTACAAGCTGCAACCTTTTTATGTTGTAGTTTAATTTCTTCTCGATTTTTTTCTTCTTGCTTTGCTAGAAAGTGCATAGCTTTATCTTTTACAGGAGCTTCTTTTCTTTCATCATATTTGCTTTTCATTAATGTTACTTTAGTTCTTGAATATTCAAGCAATTGTTTTCTTTCTTCATCTGATTTACCATTAAGCCATTCTAATGTTTGGTTCTGAGACCACATTGTCAAAGCCTGGATAGTTTGAACATTTGCATTGGGTTTTGTGCGAATCATTAAATCCAAAATGGCAAAGTCGCTTTCTGATGCTTTATTAGTAACAGGGACATTAGAAGCAGCTTCAGAAACAGAATTAGATGGATTCCAATATTTACCACCTGGTAACTGATCAGCACACTGACGTTCCAAAATAACAAGAATCGCATGGAAAATAATTTCAAGTGATTGAACAGTTAAAGAATCAAACTCATCATTTTGAGTGCATTCAAACAGCTTGGTGTAAACCACATTATGATGAAGAAGATTGGTATCTTCAAAAATTTTTCCATTAGCAAACAATAAAGAAGACGCATCGATACAAAGAGATGAAAGTCTAACTTTCAAGCGAAGTAGGTAGGGGTTTAAAAATAATATACTATCAAGTGGTTCGATAATTCTCCACATTGGACCAGTAAGTAGTTTGTCAATAATACCTAATGCACGGACTTCAGCAATGCATACAAGATTTGTGATATCTTCCTTAATTGCTTTTAATAAACTATTAGGGTTAGGCCAAGCATTAAGAAATTCTGTTATAGAATCCTTATGATAGTATAGGGCAGCTGCATTGTAATACAAAATATTAAATCGATTTCCAATAAATAAAACAAAATAAGATTTATTGTTACGAGAGGAAAGAAAAGAATTAAATCATGATGCAACACCAGCTTCCTCACTACCCCTTGAATGAAATACCTTACATGTAGTACAAACTAACCGTACAGTGCCACATTCTTTACCACTAAAAGCAAAAACAGTTTCAAAATCATTTTGAAGCAGAATTTTTTCAAAAGAATTTAAAACTTTATCAGTTTCAGAAGCAAAATTAGCGAGCAAATGAAGTTTACAGAAAAAATTACTCATGTCCTTCATATTGTCTTTGACGTTTGAGGAAAGAAAGTCCCAGTTACTAATTGCAATAGGCAAAAGTTTTTCCCTTAATGTTTTTAACTGTGAGTTAAAAAGAGGATTAACCGAAGAAAGATCAGACATTGTTGATTTTATTGATGTTATTAGTTTAGCAAAATTAATTTCTTTTTCAGTGGCTGAGTTGCTAACAACGTCACAAATGTCATCTACTATATTAGTAAAGTTTTGCAA